GAAGCAGCCGGGGAAGACAATACCCATGAAGAAGACCAGGAGGTGGGAACCTGATGATCGGAGCATCTGCAGAGAGACAGACAGGTGAGAAAGAGACAGATAGGGTGAGAAAGAGACACAGGTGAGAGAGACAGACAGGTGAGAGATACTGACAGGTGAGATACAGACAAATGAGAAAGACAGATAGGAGAGAGAGAGACAGATAGGTGAGAAAGACAGGTAGGAGAGAATGAGAGAAAGGTAAGAAAGAGAGACAGGTGAAAGAGACAGATAAGGTGAGAAAAGACAGGTGAGAAAGACACAGATAAGTGAGAAAGACAGACAGGTGAGAGAGACACAGATAAGTGAGAAAGACAGACAGGTGAAAGAGACAGATAGGTAAGGGAGATAGACAGGTGAGAGACAGAGACAGACAGACAGACAGGTGAGAGACTGGTAAGAGAGAGCGAGATATATGAGAGAGAAAGATAAGTGAGAGAGACAGGTAAGAGAGACAGGCGGGGCGAAAGAGAGGCAGTTGAGAGACACCGACAGGTGAGAGACAGACAGACAGGAGAGAAAGAAAGGTGAGAGACATAGTTAGTAGATAGTTGAGAGACAGAGATGACAGAGACAGATAGGTGAGACCAAGAGACAGGTGATAGACAGACAGGTGAGAAAAAGGGACAGGTAAGAGACAGGTGAGAGACAGACAGGTACGAGACAAATAGGTGAAAACAAGAGACAGGTGAGAAAGACAGACGGGTGAGAAAAAGGGACAGGTGAGAGAGACAGACAAGGGAAAAGAGAGACAGGCCAGAGAGACAGACAGACAAAAGACAAACAGGTGAGAGACAGACGGGAGAGAAAGACAGACAGGTGAGAGACAGACAGATGAGAGCAAGACACCGTCCTTCTCCTGACAGATCTATGAGAACAATTAGAATATTAACTTAAAGTGACTCCAGGTGGAATCAGTGAACTCAGTTAAACCAGTCTGTGCACTGGGACCGGTCTGTCTGTTACTGGGACCAGTCTGTGCACTGGGACCAGTCTGTCTGTTACTGGGACCAGCCTGTCCGTCTACTGGGACCAGTCTGTTACTGACCAGCTGCATCAGGTTTTCCCAGAAGTCCTGGGTCATCAGTCGGACCATGTTCAGCAGAGACCAACCAAACGAATCGTAGCTGGTGTAGCCGTAGTTTGGGTTTTTCCCCGCCCTCAGACAGGTGTAACCCTCAGGACAGGCCCTAAGGACATCATCATCATCATCATCATCATTTACGATTATCATTGTGATGATAATGAAGTGTCTGTATTGAAGAGCTGTGAACGTACCCTGAATCAGAGGAGTTTCCACACAGCAGAGGATCTACCTGACCAGGCAGGTGGTACTGGTTCTCTACCAGGCAGACAGACAGACAGACAGACAGACAGGCTTCAACCTCTGGCTGAGGGGCAACAGCTGAATGTAGCAATCTACATCATCATACCAGTGTTGAGAACATGCTCAGTGAAATCAAACTCAGTGCTTCCTGCTGGCGCCAGCCATGATGAAATAATACATTTGTGCTTCAGAGATCCCATGAAGAGCTGCAGAGCGATCAGAGCCAAGAGACAGAGCCAGAACACCATTAGAGTGATGACATCAGCCAGTTTCCTCAACGACTGGACGACATCTCCGACAGTCTTTTTCAGACCTGAGAGTGGGTGGAGTTTAAGAAACCGACTGCATCAGAAATCAAATTCCAAAACAACAAACTCATAACTCTTTGAGTTTCTTTGTGAGATAGAGATTCTCTCTCACACACACACAAACACACACACCTGGGATGACTGTGATGATCTTCAGTACTCGAGTAACTGTTCTCAACACAGAAAGTGTCTTTATAGATACAATCCATGTCAAATATCTGAAACACAGAAACACATCAGCATCACCACCACTGTCATCATCATCATCACATAAAACAGTTGGAGATACAAAGAGATGAAAAAGTGATGAAGAGATACAGAGAGACATAAAAGAGATGATAAGATACAGAGAGACATAAGACATGAAGAGATACAAAGATGGAGATACCGAAAGACGTAAAAGAGATGAAGAGATACTTAAGAGATACAGAGAGAGGTAAAAGAGATGAAGAGATTCAAAGAGACATAAAAGAGATGAAGAGATACAGAGAGACATAAGGGATAAAGTGATACAGAGAGACATAAGATACAAAAAGATGTAAAAGAGATCAAGAAGATGTAAAAGAGATGAAGAGATACAAAGAGATGTAAAAGAGATGAAGACATACAGAGAGACATAAGATATGAAGAGATACAAAGAGATGTAAAATGGATGACGAGATACAGAGAGACTTAAGAGATACAGAGAAATCTAAAAGAGATGAAAAGATACAGAGAGACATGAGACATGAAGAGATACAAAGAGACGTAAAGAGAGAGGTAAAAGAGATGAAGAGATACAAAGAGACATAATAATAATAGTAATAATAATAATAATACATTTTATTTGAAAGCGCCTTTCAGGCAGAGAGATGTAAAAGAGATGAAAAGGTACAAAGAGATGTAGAAGAAATGAAGAGATGCAAAGAGAGGTAAAAGAGATGAAGAGATACGAAGAGACATAAAAGAGATGAAAAGATACAAAGAGACATAGAGGAGATTAAGAGATACACAGAGACACCATACCACCAAAGGGAGACAAAACAACTGTTAATAACTGACTCTGAACAAGAACTCTGTTATGAACACATATATCAGATTTCTTAATTATTACATCTTGCCAGCGATCATGGAGTTCAGCCACTTCTTGGGGGCTCTGAAGAAATTGAAGTAATACAACCTTGATTCCATAAAAGGTCAGACGCTGTGTAAAACGTAAATAAAAACAGAATTCAATGATTTGCAAATCCTTTGTGACCTATATTCAATTAAATACAGAAGAAAGAAAATATCATTAATGTTCAAACTGATAAACTAATGTTTTTATTCTCATTCTGAATTTGAGCCTGCAACACGTTATAACTAAGTTGGGACAGTGTCATGTTTACCACTGTGTTACATCACCTTTTTTTAATAACACTCAGTAAGTGTTTGGGAACTGAGGACACTAATGGCTGAAGTTTTAAAAATCGAAATTCTTTCCCATTCTTGCTTGATATTCGACTTCAGTGCTTGTAACAATCTGGATGGTCCTTTTCCTCATTAGCCCGCAGGACACGACGTCAATGACTTCTGATAACAATTTGAAATATGGACTCGTCGGACCACAGCACATTTTTCCACTTTGTGTCAGTCAATCTCAGATGAGCTCAGGTCCAGAGAAGTTGGCGTAATTTCTGGATGTTGTTGATATATGACTCTCACTCTGCATGGTAGAGTCTTAACTTGCATTTGTAGAGGCAGCGACAAATTGTGTTCACCGACAATGGTTTCCCAAAGTGTTTCCAAGCCCATGTAGAAATATGTTTTATACAGTCATGTTGGTTTCAAATGTAGTGCCGCCTGAGGGCTGTGCTGGGTTGTTGGTTTTCAGCCTGGCCTCTCACATGCAGAGATTTCTCCAGATTGCCTGAATCATTGGGTGATATTCGGATTGCAGAAGGTGAGATCCATGAATTCCTTGAAACTGTACATTGAGAAATGTTGTTCTTAATCTGTTGGCCTATTTGTCCACACAGTTTCTCAGTAAATGACCATCCTTGCTTGTGAATAATTGAGTCTTTAGAGGATGCCCCTTTCATACCCAGTCATCATACTTGACTCTGTTACCTGTGAAATGTTTAAGATGTTTTGTTAACATTTCACAACTTTCCCAGTTTTTTGTTGCCTCTGTCCCAACTTTTTTGTAACTCAATACAGGCATCAAATTTAGAATGCATGCATATACTGTACATTAAATATGTCTTTGTGGCATATCAATATTCAATTAAATATAGGTCAAATAAGATTTCCAAATCACTGCATTCTTTTTATATTTACACTTTACATGGCATCTCAACTTCTTTGGCATCAGACTTGTATGTATATATGTGAGCTACATATAAATCTGTGCAGTTATATATGGTCATATAGTTATAAATAGTTGTATGATTTCATAGAGTCATACAGTTCTATATAGTCATAAAGTTATATTCATATAGTTATGTATAGTCATGGTGGCACAGTGGTTACCACTATCACCTCACAGCAACCTCAAACCCTGGGGAAGGGGAGCCCTTCTGTGAAGAGTTCACATGTTCTCCCTGTGTAAGAGTGAGTTATCACCAGGTACTCCAGCTTCCTCCCACAGTCCAAAAACAAGCAGGTTAATTGGTGACTCTAAATTGGCCATAGGTGTGAATGTGAGTGTGAATGGTTGTCTGTCTCTATGTGTCAGCTCTGTGATAGTCTGGTGACCTGTCCAGGGTGAACTCCGCCTCTTGCCCAATGTCAGCTGGGATAGGCTCCAGCTCCCCCTCATAACCCTTTACCAGTGGTTACAGAGAATGAATGAATGTATAGTCATAGTTTTATTCTTAAAGTTATATACAGTCATATTATCATATACAAATTCATATAGTTATACTAATATAGTTATATATAGTTCTATTAAGTTATAGTCAAGACATACACAGAGACAGAAAACAAGAAGAGATATGAGGAGGCGTGAAAGAGATGAAGATCTACAAGGAGACGTGACAGAGATGAAGCGATGCAAAGAGATGTAAAAGAGATGCAGTGATATGAAGAGGTGTTAAACAGATGAACGATACCAAGAGGTGTAAAAACTTTAAGAGATACAAAGAGATAAAAAGAGATGTAGAAATACAAAAAGACATGAAAGAGGTAAAGATATACACAGACACAGACGTAGAAAACATGAAGAGATACGAAGAGGCGCAAAAGAGATGAAGAGATACAAAGAGATAAAGACGCATAAAGAGATGAAGATACAAAGAGATGTAGAGATACAAAGAGGTATTATACAAGTGAAAAAACACCGAGAGGTGTAAAAAGTTGAAGAGATACAAAGAGATGTAAAAGATATGAAAAGATACAGAGAGACATAAAACAGATAACAGATACAGATACAACAGATACAAAGACATAGAAGACATGGAGAGATAAAAAGAGGTAAAAAGAGATGAAAAGATACAAAGAGATGTGAAAGGGATGAAGAGATATGAAAAGGTGTAAAAGAGACAAAGAGATAGAGATAGAGACATAGAAGAGATGAAGAGATACAAAGAGATGTGAAAGAGATGAAGAGATACAAAGAGATGCAGAAAAAAATTAAAAGATACAAAGAGACATAGAAGAGGTAAGAGATATTACATTACCCTGTGAGGACGACCAGGATGTCTAGCCAGTTCCAGGGGTCTCTGAGGAAAGTGAAGCTTCCGAAACAGAGGCCTCTGGACATCATCTTTATGAGGACTTCAAGCGTGTAGATGGCTGTGAACACATGTCTGTTTGAAAACAAAAACAAAAACAAAAACAAAAACACTGAAATACTTAAAAACAACAGTAATCAATGAGAGTCATTTCAAATATAACACCATTACAACAAAAATATCAATTTATGTTTATTCAGGAATTATTTTAATAATTGATTAACCAGTTGCTACCAACATAGTGCATTTATTTTGAAAGAGACTGTATGTAAACAGTAAATTTCCTGTAAAAACAGAAATGTATTTTGAAAGAAGACAATGCATGTAATAGGCAGAACTTGACATGGTGTCCCAGAAAAACAACCAACACACCCAGGGTACCTTGCACATTGTATGCGGACGTGGATGTTTATGACCAAAATGTCGTTAAGTGACGAGGTTGGAGTGAGAATGTGTTGAAATAATTGTACATTTAATTGAACAATTTGAAAGTTTTATTACACTTTGTTCCTAAAATCCACCCTAAATCCAGCATTCTAGGATCAGGATAATCCTGATTTCTTGGATCAAAATCCCAATCCTACCAAAATGCTTTGAACAACACACACTGAAGGTTTGATCCGGATCAAAACCAAGACTGGATTACAT